ATTCTCCCCTGGAGTGGCTGACCAACCAAGATCACACCAAGAGCAAGGCATGTAATGCTTTGGGAGGTCTCAAAAAAGCCCAGGGAAGTAACTAAAAGCCACTCTTGCATTGGTGAATGTCAGTGTTCATGAGACCACCATCAAGAGAACACTGAACAACAATGGTGTGCATATCAGTGTTGCAAGGAGAAAGCCACTACTCTCCAAAAAGAACATTGCTGCCTGTCTAGAGTTTGCAAAAGACAACGTGGATAAGCCAGAAGGCTACTGGAAGAGTGTTCATCTATTTTGGATGAGACCAAAATAGAACTTTTTGGCTTAAATGAAAAGTGTTATGTTTGGTGAAATACAAACACTGCATTCCAGCAGAAGAACCTTACCCTATCTGTGAAACACAGGTGGTAGCAGTATCATGGTTTGGGCCTGTTTTGCTGCCTTTGGACCAGGACAGGCTACCCTCATTGACTGGATGATGAACTCTGAATTGTACCAGCAAATTCTACAGGAAAATGTCAGAGTATCTGCCCATGAACTGAAGCTCAAGAGAAAGTGGGTCATGCAGGAAAACAATGACCCAAAAACACAAGTTGTGTGACCAAAGAATGCTTAAAGCAGAAGAAAGTTAATGTTCTGGAATGGCCAAGTCAAAGTCCTGAGCTTAATCCTACAGAAATGTTGTGGAAGAACCTGAAGCAGGCAGTTCATGTGAGAAAGCCCACCAACATCCCTGAGTTGAAGCTGTTACAGGAGGAATGGGCTAAAATTCCTCCAGGGTGATGTGCAGGACTAATTAACAGTTATTGGAAAAGTTTAGTTGCAGATGTTGCTGCCCAAAGGGGCACCCAGTTACTGAAACCTTAGGTTTACATACTTTTACCACACACAAATATGTAGCTTTGGATCATTTTCCTCAATGAATAAATGAACAAGTATAATGTTTTTGACCCCCCACATTGAGTGTACTGCAGTAGTCTAAACCATTGGAAGGTTCTGTTAGCCCTAAAATGGTGAAACTAGTGCATGATGGATCTCTGCAAAGGTCTCCCTAGCCACACCTGCCACTTGCTCTTCCAACAGGAGCCATGAGTCTAAGAGGATTCCCAAATTGTGCACTAGTTCTATCTGGGGAAATCTAACCCCACTTAGAACTAAAGATGGGATGCCCAATTCCTGAACCAAAGCCACTTGATCCTGCTAGGGTTGAGCCTGTTTCTGCCCAGCCAGGCACTAGAAATCTCCAGACACTAGG